TAACTGAAATGGGAAATTTTTGGAATTCGTGGAACTTCTTAATTGGACAGTGACGTACTTATGCATGCTTCCAAAATAGACGTGAGACGAGCTGCTGTGGCTTTACCCATCACTGCTTTGACGACGAGAATCATCATCCAGAATAGCTCACATGAAGCGTCGATCGATTTTCCGATTAAAATCTGAATCAAGGAAGAGAGGATGTAAGCTTTTTGTTGATGGGTTTCTTGTTTTGTCATATAACTGATAAATGACAGTGGTGAGCGAGATGGGCGCACCAACGGTGGGCCATGTTGAGCGTTCAGAGCCCTGAGGGCATACCTCGGAATTGTATTAGTGGAGTTAAGCCCTAACGCGAGCAAGGTAGAGGGATCGGCAGGCATATCAATCGTATCGTCCACGACACAAAACTCTCAGGCAAAGGCGCCAAGGCGCTAGTTCCACCCGAGCTCACACCCACGAACTGAAGTCATAGGTCGAACCCACTCTCGACCCTTGCTCTTTTGTTACCGATGGTTTTGCCTCCTCTCGGCGTTCAGTCTCTTTTATCCGGCGGTCTTTCTTTTGGACCCTCCAGGCCTTAGAGGGAAAGAGCCTCCGTTTTTAAGGTTTCCGGTGTTTTTTCGTTGTTTTTGTTTACGCTGTCAATTCGGTTCGCTTCTCTACTTTCATATTCGAAAAACGTTACAACGCAAACATAATCCTGAGGTCTGCATTGTCAAGCCTTTGGTGTTTTTGCCATGCGCTTCCGAGTCTCGGAGTGGTGGAACGCCTGGGGATAGGGACCAAGGTACCCTTCTCGCGGGAAGTCAGTTCCACTCAGCTCAATCCTAGAATTTGCCTTTTATTATTCTGAATATAGGATAAGGCGCTTGGGAGAAGAAGTGTATGTGCCAAGACGTAATTAGGTAATTAAACACCTCCACGATTTTGATTTGTGGTCGAGGGCGTGGCGCATTTTGGATGGAGGGTAGAATGCGTGGTGCTTTGTCACTTTCTCAACCTTCTAGCCGTGTGCACTTACTGTTGATCTTCTGCTGTCTGCAGCTATAGATGAAATTAAGGAATTAAGTGCTTTCAAATCTTTCGGGAAACCATCATCGATCCTGAAACTTTCATTCGTTATGTAGAACTCGTCCGTGGGATAACTTTACACGCTCACCATCCATTATAGATGACGACTTCAGTTTGGTATCTATGTGTGGGTAAAATGTGCCGATTCCACTTCACTCGTCTTCTTACGACGGTATTTTGAAATCTTATCAAAGTTGACGACAACATGATGACATCGTTGCAAGTTATTCGCACTTCAACGTCTTCTTTGTCCCCTAAATCGAACAGGCTTTCTTCCCGAATCCAGCAAATCTCCTTCTTTTCCTTCAGTTTTGGTTAAATTTTTCACATCTCCCAACCTGTCCAGTAATCCATGCCCTACTTTCTTCAATATATTATAATTACGCCATGCCCCTCCACGTTTAATTTAGCACAACATTGTCTTTGGTGACGACGTACTTTGTTGCGCGTGCGATAAGCGTGATTATCGGAACACCGTAATCAGCTCCACTTTCGAAGACTCGCTGGAGAATCGTGGCCGAAGAATCGCTGCATAAGGTGCGGTTAAGCTTTCCGTTGGAAAGAAATGTTAAAGGCAGCGATTACGATAAAGTGGGAGCGCATCGGAAAGCATATGCACCACACGAATCAGTTACTTGGCTGCCAGGGAAGCGAGTGTGCGCTTTCACGACGAAAGGTGCGCTGGTTGCTGAGCAGGACTTCGAAAGCACTCCGCCCCCAAAAGCGATCCGCCCACTAGTTTAGTTGGTGATTTGGACGAGCTGCGTTGCCAGCAGCGGCACAACTGGAGCAACTCGATTGGAGCGTGGTTTGGCATGGTGCCACCAAACGCGTTGCGGTGAACTCGTTCATACGTCCGCTTTCTGAGCTGTTACCTGTTCATGAGTGAAAACCAACGGCCAAAAAAGGGGTCCCGTTTTGCGTTTTCTTGACGGATTTCTCCGCTTTTTTCGCCACTGGCGTACCATTGAGCACCACCACGTCTCTCTAAACCCTTCTTGAACCTATCGTAATCGCTGCCTTTAGGGCAGTGATCGCGATGGGCGGAGGGGGTGCGCGCAGACTAGACCGAGGGCCGTATCCTATCCTTCTCCTAGGGTGTGGTTCACTAGGACAGAAAGCGACTTTTTCGCGTTTCGCAGCGCGAAACATTTTTCGCTGCAGGAACCTCAGGTCCACCGCTGATCATGAGTGGACCTGGAGTTCCTGCAGCGAAAAATGTTTCGCGCGAAACGCGAAAAAGTCGCTTTCTGTCCTAGTGAACCACACCCTTCTCCCAGGGGGCGTCCCGCTGATCCTATCCTACGGCTGGGAGAGACAGAGTTGCGTCATAGGACCCGCCGTTTGAACGCGTGGTGTTGTAGCTACCCTTTTGGGATACCTCTTCTCTAAGGGGTCGCGCTGTCTGGAGTCTAGAAACGGAGAGGGTGGCGGGTCCTATGACGCAACACCTGTCTCCCCCAACCGTAGGATAGGATCGGCGGCGTGGGACGCGTCTCTCTAGGGGAAGGGATACGGCCCCGGGGAACGGTCAAGGGAATCGTCCGGTCGTAGCGCCGCCGCGTGCGGTCATTTGTGCGGCGTCGCGACGCGGCAATTTTCCGAGGGACTTCTGAATTTGACGGAAGCAGTTGATCAAAGTTGAATATCCAAGGGACGGGTCTGCTTGGCGTCCCTCTAAAATTCAAAATTCGAACAAATTTCGGCCACGACCGGGCTAGCGCGGAGATACGGGTCCTGTTGACATACGAACGCGCTAGACTTATGCCCAGCGCGCTAGCAGTTGTGATTGGACTGGCCTTCTTATTCATCGGGCGCACGCTATTCAGCACCATAACGGCACAGAACCGCACCCACCTTCAAGCCATCTTGATCACTGCATTCAATAGCCAACACACACCGGATGACAAGGGGGGGGGCGCTGGATCCGAAAAGAGCCATAGCCCGTATTTCCACTCTTAACTATGGAGCTTATATGTAGGATGATCGAGTTTCAACATACGCTTTATTATCAAGCCGTTCATCAACCTTCGATGGCACTTCGCGGCGAAGAATCTTCCCTGATCACTTCCAATAAAAATCTTATTACAACCGGCATGCATGTCACCACTCCATAACAAATTGTGGTCGTCGTCCAAGGTCCTCTGAAAAAAGAGTAAAGAGATTCATTTCTCTTTTGACTCAATAACGTGAATTTCCTGATCAAGCCATGATGAGGTCATGGGATTGGTCTTTGCTCAGGACAGAGCTGTACATCAGGATCTACCGTGGTACCGTTGACACGGCTCAAAAATTTGTGGCAAGGGCGCTAGGATCTTGCAAGGACCGCTTCGACCGCTGCAACCGCTTCCATTTTTCTCGCTCGCCTATAAGCTGGTGTCTGCGTTCTCTGGACAGTTACCCTTTCTCGCCTGTCCTCTCTCCTACCATTCTCAGTTCTCATTTCCCTAGCACAACCGAAGCAATTAACGGACTAAACCCTCAACTCTACTTTTCAAGGGGCTTTTCTCATTTTTTTTTCCACAACCGGATCACTGCTTTAATCTTCTTAAGCAAGGAGCACACCACTTTGATTCTGGGAATAACTTTAAGCTGCTCGGGCAGGCCTACTTCGTTAGTAACTTAGGCTTTTTTTTTTGGCCCGGTTTTTTTTTTGGTGGCCCCTAAAGTCTCATTCCGTCTCTACACTCTCATGTCTACTCGATGTCTGGTCTCTCTTTTCGACGTCCGGAAATGCCTAGCCACAGCTCTCTTTGGGATGCTATCGGTGTCTTTTCCTTTTTTTTCAATTACTGACGGATCAATCGCATCAGCATTTTCGATCCTATCACCCACACTTGATAGATTCAGAACCCTATGGAGGATAAGGTTCGGACTCGAAGAACATGGTTCTCATGAAAACTTGTGATTTCCTGCCTGTGTTAATATTAGATGAAACCAACCGTGATAGTCGCGAAACTGTCCTGCTGCTGTTTTGTCAAATTCAGTTGGTTCATTTTGTCTGCCATCAACGGTGTCAATTCCGGGTACTGCTCCGGTAGCTTAGCAATCTTTGCTTGCCCTTTTTTCTTTTTCAGCTCCACATTCATCATTCTCAATTGAGCCTCTGCTTTGCGTTCTTCAGCAGTTTTCTTGGGTTTTCGACGATATGTAGGATCTTAATGTCAAGAGAATTCGGAACAATATGTCGCTATGTCGCTAGCAATATAGAGTTTTTGATGGTCGTGTATGGAACTTGCTTTCCTTCCTTCTCGCAGTGACGCGTCATGTGTGATCACTAGTTCTACAGCGTACAAATTACATGCATGAAAATTGAAAGGTTTCCGGGAGGAATGAAACCTTTGACAGTATTGTTTTGTGGACAGTTCATAGACGCTCGGGCGGGGCCAAAGAGTGATGAAAGGAAGTAAGTTTTCGGTGTGGCGGTTTTGGTGGGTTTTGGGTGGATAAGGTGACGCATCATAAGAAGAAATTCGAAGTACGACGTGTCATTCGGATCAACGAATTTTAGCTGCTCCCAAAGTTTAGCACGGTAGATTAGGCAAGGTAGAATCATGTGCTTATGTGCACCATGCATTTAAAAACAGAGTAAGCAACAGGTCAATGAATCCTCAATAGGATGAAGAGGAGGTGATCATTTGAGTCCATGGAAGAAGAAAGAGAAGTGGAGGAAGACGAGTGGGCAAAGGAGGCCAAATGGTGAGGATCACTTGTTTATTTCTGCTATCGTAAACACCTTCCCAATTCGCCACATCTGTTCCTTTTTTGGACGTCTTAACCCATAAAATTTGAAGTTGGAAAGGTAGATGGAGGTTGAAGCAGAGGAGTGTAAAGGAGGTCATAGTTTTAAATGTCTCAGGATTGAATCAAGTCATACTTCGTTCTGTTTAGTCGGAGCTGTCCTGATTCAGAAGCTATCAAACAATGTCAGAGAAAGGCCATTCTACACTGTCAAAATGTTGAATGGCCTCACTCTAACAGTATTTGATAGCTTTTAAAGCATGGTAAGCTACCTCCTTTACACTCCCCTGCTTCAACTTCCACTTACTTTCCCAACATCAAATTTTCTGGGGTAAGACGTCCGAAAAAGGAGCTGATGTGGCATTTTGGGAAGGCGTATAAGAAGGCAATCAACAATGTAGAAACGAGCGCGATCCTGTTAGCATTAGTCGGCCAAGCAGTGAAAACGTCCCATATAAGAACACTGGCAGACTACAATGGTCGCCGCACCGCAACGGTGCAATTCCTTCCAACGATCTCTCACCACCTCCTTGAGGAAGGGCGTGAGACAAGGCGACACTATCTTGCCAAGCTGTTTACATTTGCGCTGCAGTGTATAATGAAGTTGCTTCATTGGCATGAGAAAAGCATTCGTGCAGACGAACGGTACCTCTCGAATCTGCGCTTCGCGACATCGTTCTCTTCTCAAGTAGCACTACGGAAGCTGAGACGATGCTCGCTGAATTGAATGAAGCAGGAAAGAAGGTGGGGTTGCGGATCAACCAAGAGAAAGACACAGTTCATGAAGAACCTCGGTCCAGTGAATGTGAAATCTAGATTGATGGCACAATCTAGCTTTCACATTCACTGGACCGAGGTTCTTATCAGGGAAGCCACATCCTTACGTTTATCTGGGGCGTTCCATGAATCATCGATATGAAGGAAGAGCTAGGAAGACGACAGAGAGCAGCGTGGGCAGCCTTCGGTCCTCTGAAAGAAGTTACCAACCATCTGGCTGATCCAGAACTTCGTGCGCATTTGTTTGACTCTACAGTTCTTCCTGCGCTTTGTTACGCGGCTGAGACATGGGTGAGCAGTGCATCCACGTCAAGGACTTTGACTGTAGCTCACAGAGCGCTCGAGCGATGTCTTTTGAGGTTTAATCGATTTACTCAATATCGAGCTGGACTCCGCAGCGCAGACCTACGCAGAATGTCCCGTCTCCGAGACCCTGTGGAGTACATGACAAACGCCAAGCTACGATGGGCCGGTCATATCATGAGGAGAGTAGATGACAGGTGGACAAGAAGAACGGTAGAGTGGGCTCCCGTAGGATTTTCGCGGTCCAAAGGGAGACCTGCTGCGAGATGGGGAGATGCACTCGTCAATCACATAAAGCAGCTGCGAATGCAGCTAAACGATGCTTCAGATCGCCGTCTCCGCGACTTCTACAACAACCATGGATGGCGATTGCGAAAGAACGAAACGAATGGTTTGTTGCTGGTGCTCGCAGATGAAATGAGGACGAGCCGTATAATTGTAAGGCAACTAATTAAGTAGGGTCATTCCGAAAAAAACCGACCTATTTTAGGCTCCTTGATTGTTTTTTCGCAAAAAGTTTTCCAATCCGTTAATGTTGTACCAAGTATTTCCTGAAACAACATCACTAGCTCTTGGTTAGAGGTACAAGTCTCTCTCAAACTGGATCTAGAAGGGAGGTCACGTAAATTTTCAGGACTAAGCTATTGCGCTGAAAATGAATGTGAACGGGTAATTAGTATACCAGTAAAAGAGATAGCAAACAAAGTTGTAGGAGCTTCTGAACTGTACGTTGATCGTACGGGCGGTGATTCCTTTTATTGGTGGGTCTTCTTCGCGATATAATGGAATACTTAGATGCGCTAGCATGCGAGAGGGCGCATGCTTCGCTCATACGATCGACGCGCTATGTTATTTTTCAAGGGCCCATAGCAGCTTCATCTGCTCTCTTTCGTTACTGGTCAACCAACTTACACATCTGGGTGCGCCATAAATAGAAAGTTGCTGTGGCACAATACTGCAATTTACGGCGGGTAATGGAGGGGTGGGATGTAGGGGGGTGTAGGTGGAGGGAGGGACGAGGGGGGGGTTGGTGAAACATAAAGCGTGTAGAGCCTTGAGGTAGCTTCAGCGTGGGCACGCAGGGTATTGGTTAGAGAATTTAGGCAGAAGCTTCCTTCAGTAATTTCGTCAGTTTCAAGAGCAAGCTTTGCTCTTTAACAAAGCTCACCTGTGTTTGAGTGCGGTGGTTTTGCTTTTCAATGGTATCCAGAGAAAGATCCGTAAAAATTGGCGCTCTACATTAGTATTACGCCTTCCGTATTTGCGATCTATGGCTTTGTGTAGCTGTTCAATTATGTTGGAAAGTCACTCAGTATCCTTGAGGTTTCTATCCACTGCACTGCCTTCTTCAGAAGGCTAGTGTCAGACTTTGCAAATCCAGCGAACCGCGGATACTGTTGACGCATCAGAGGTTTGAACTTATGCACTAGCGCTAGCGCTTTGATGCACTAGCGATTCCGCGGGTAGAAATGGGGTATCCGATAGGGAGCGCCCCGCGCAAGGTGCTGGAGACGCAGAGTGTCACAGCGTGAGTTTTCTCACTCAGGCGGTGTCGGACTTTACGAATCCAGCGTATCGCGGGGTACGAGCGTCGCATCAGCGAATCCAACTGTGTACCAGCACTTCGAGCGATATACCACCGGTTCAAATGATGTACCACCTTTTCGACACTGCTTGAAAGTGGGTGAACTCCCTTTCGTTTGCATGTTGATTCTTGTCACTTTCCCGGGCTCTTATGCCCTCTCGATCTCTCATGCCCTTGTGAGCCCGGGAAAGTGGCGAGAGTCAACGTTCAAAGTGAATCCCGCCACTTTCAAACAGCGTCGACTCGCTGATACATGGTTGAAACTGAGGTACACAGCTTGATTCACTGGTTATGGTTTGCTTCGGACCCGCTGTTGCTCTCTGCCACGATTGCACAATCGTCGAGCCTGACATCTACTTTACCCTTACGTCGATTCAAGCAGGCTATAGAATACAAGCCAGCATAGACTGTAGACACTTAGAGTACACAATTCAACAATGATCCCTCTGCGTCTGACTGCTCGCCGCGCAGTGTTTCCTGTCGAGTACCAGTGGAGAAGTGGGTAAAGTTCCACTCACGCGCGTCGACGTTCTCCACTTTCCCATGCTCTCATGGCCTCGTCCGCTCTAAAGCAACGTCAACGTGCACGTGAGAAGGTTCTCGCCAATTGCCACACTGTGGAGTTGTTGGAGTTCCGTTAGAGTTGTAGGCGCATTGTTCGTATTCCGCGATTCGCTGATTCGCAAAGTCTGACACCAACCATATATCCTTCATGAAAACTTCATGACTGATGAATGAGTGCAATAACAGCTGCCGTGGATTACAGATGACACCCTCAAGAGACAACAAACATAATTCTTGCTATTCCGATGTAAAGATATCGCTTACATTTGCGTACTCTTTGAGGCGAGCTCTTTGTTCTGCATCTAGCTCGGCGTCCTCCACAAGCACAAAGGGCATCGATATCATTCTATCTATTCGTTTGTTGTAGATTCTTCTCAGAATAGACAGCAGAACAGCAAGTATTATTGCAATAATTAATGCAATGCACAAAGCTACTACCATTGCAACTATGGCAGTTCCTAAGCGGTATTCAGCTGAAATAACAAATTTCACTTGTCTTTTTAAGGATTTGATGATCCTCCCTTTGAAGGCAGTGAGTATAATAATTTGGGGGCGAATTTAGAATGGAGTGGGGTGCTAAATGGCGCACAGAAGATAAAAAAGCAGAGAATTCGTCAAAACCTCTCGAGAACCCAATTTGTTTCCTTCTTTGATCGGGAAGAGTTTGCGACTTGTTCATTGGAATGAATGTCTGACAAAAGATACCCATATCGAATATATCACACAGAAAGATGACAAGATACGGGAGTCATAAAAGCCGTATGCAAGCCGTAACAGAGGACCTCAGGACTCCATCTGTGGGCGGGGCGGTGCAGTGCGGTTTTTTTTTAGGTTCGAGCCATAACTGAGGCTTCTACACCACGAAAACGATACCAGTTTCTTTCTATTGCCGCCCCTGGCCATCACTCGGAATGGCCTGCCCACTTATCGTACTCACTCCCTTATATTGTGACTTTTGACCATTTTTTATAAAAACTTCTGAAGGTGTATTCGAGTTTTGTACGGCGTCATACGTCACGCTGATTATCTGGGATGCGGTATGTGCTAAGTTTTTGTGAAAAAAAATAGTTAAGCTCTATACATTAAATGAAATAAAATTCTATAAATTTTTCCTTTTTTGTTCGCCACTAGCTTGATTGAAAGTGCAGTACATAGCGGGTAAATTCATCCATCGAAACGGTATCTCGTGCTACTTTTCCAATTTTTCCACTTTTCTTCACTGCGTCAGGGAGCAGGAGGCTCCTCAGTAATGAAGACTTTTGATCTCTCTTCAGGATTCAGTCACTTGTTGTCTTAAAGGAGGAATTCACGATTAGAAATGAAGGTCGAAGAAAGGGAAACTGACCTAGTTGAGGGACCCACGGACCTCCTGAGAGGGTGCGAACTGACGCGCAATTCGCATGGAAAAATTTGACCTCGGCGACCTATCATGCCTCAAAGCTGGCGGGTCCGGCGATCTCCGCCCACCGATCATCTGATCACTCGCCGTAGTTCAATACGTGGCGAGTGATTAGATAGCTGAGAGAGCGTAGTGTTGAAGAGGGCACAGCGATGAGAGTCGCATCAATGCTCAATCAACGGGCAAGGAAGGGGTCCCATTTCTCGGGTTTCTGGGCCGTTTCTCATGGTTCTTCCTTCTTTCGTGTACCACTCACCATCCCTAGGTTAATTTGAAATGGGTTGCTTTTCATCGTGAATTCGTCCTTTAAAGAGGAATACCACGATAGAATGAAGGTCGAAGAAAGGGAAACTGACCTAGTTGAGGGACCCACGGACCTCCTGAGGGTGCGAACTGACGCGCAATTCGCATGGAAAAATTTGACCTCGGCGACCTATCATGCCTCAAAGCTGGCGGGTCCGGCGATCTCCGCCCACCGATCATCTGATCACTCGCCGTAGTTCAATACGTGGCGAGTGATTAGATAGCTGAGAGAGCGTAGTGTTGAAGAGGGCACAGCGATGAGAGTCGCATCAATGCTCGAATCAACGGGCAAGGAAGGGGTCCCATTTCTCGGGTTCTGGGCCGTTTTCATGGTTCTTCCTTCTTTCGTGTACCACTCACCATCCCTAGGTTAATTTGAAATGGGTTGCTTTTTCATCGTGAATTCGTCCTTTAAAGCATCAACCCAAGATAATCCCCATCCAAATAATACCTAAATGCTAAGGAAGATGCACGGCCTCTGAACATGAAGGTGGAAGTGTTGCTGTTGCACAAGGTCCCTTATAAAAGACTCACCAGGTGCCAAATAGGCGCCGAATGGTGATCTCTCCCCCAACTGGTCGATACTCCCATTGCTAGTCATGGAGAATCCCGCAATCGGTCGCATCGTCTTGTGTAAATGCAGTTATTTACGGTTAGATGCATGTCACACTCGGCAATTGTACAACGCTATTGCAAAGTGCAAGAGCGACTGGAGCATGATCGATAGATGTCGCTCACGTGTTTTGCTGTCGAAATTCCGGCAGATCGTACCGATCGGAGCCATCGCCAGTCACTCTTCAACTTTGCACTAGCGATTGCACAACCGCTGCGTCTGCCATCCATGTTACGTGGATTACGACGTAGCCGCTAATTTGAATACTCGCGAGTTAGTAGAGCCATGGAGCAAGCAAATTCAGAACACTCGTCCAGACACGCCCCTTCATTGCGAAGTGCCAGGAAGAGGATCCTTGCTGAGGGCTCTATAAGCGCCTTCCCTTGATTTTTTCATTCCCGAGCCCTCACGATCAGATACACTTCTGACCGCTGCCAGCCCATCAATTTGATTCTGGAGACGTTGCTTCAACGCTAAAAAGCAAGCTCTTAACATATAGATTCCAACAATCTTTTCCTTTATTTCTACTGCCGGCCCACGTTACATCAATACCCCCATCTTCGTGTGCAATAATCACATCGTTTTGATCCTGAGGCGTATTTTTAATATTAATTTGTGCTTTCATTGTTCATGTGTTTGTTTGTGCTCGATACAAAGCTGATTTTGCATAGAATACAATTTCATGGCTTCCGAATTACAAGGGCAGTGACAATCTGTGCAATATTTTCTGAAAAAATTCCGTAACAACTCACTTATGTTACTGTAATCAAATCCTTGAACATCGAGTCTTAGCGGGTGGGTTATGCGTCGAAGCCATACACCCACATGATTAGTGAGAAGTGAATTGTTCC